AGCCATTGGCAGGAATGTGATTGGCAGCTGAGCAAAATGGGTTTACAAGCATCATTTTGAAAATGTAGGGAAGGAAGAATTTGCACCCAAAGATGGTAATACAAGCATACCTCATTTTATTGTGTTTGCTTTTTGCACTTCACAGATGTTGTGTTTTTTATAATTTGAAGGCAAGACCATCCACCAACAAAGAGATTATGACTTGCTTTATTGCAGTACTCACATTATTGAGGTGGTCTGGAACTGAACCCACAATATCTCTAAGGTGTGCCTGTAGTACCAAACCCATTGTTAGTAATTACCAACATGTAAAATGTGTGCTTTCTTTTAGTTTACACACACACACACACACACACAATAGGATTTCTTGTATGTTCAGTTATGTTCTTGGTTTCCTGCCCCTGCTTTCCCAGTAAGATCTTAGGTTCCGCCTTATGGGTTTTAAAGAGCCCAACCCTGTGACTTGGTTTTAGACCCTGCCACCTTGTCACGTGAAAATCTCCTTTAATGACTGGAAATAGGAAAGTCCTCGGGGTCTGGAGGACTCTGTTCAGAGCAGCCCACCATGACCAAAGGGGACCTGGGGCACACTCAGGGTTGCCACTGTTAGCTGCAAGAGCCACTCTCAGAGTTGTCTTGTCTCCTTGAACAAAGGAGAGTTAATTACAGAAAATGTCAGGAAATTTAAAGGCCATTTGTCACCAGGCTGCAAGGACAGCCGCAGCCCTTGGCAGAGCCATGAGAAGGACTGCTGATGTCAAGCCCAGTCTCTCTGCAGACAGCAATAGTGAGCCCTGTGGGTGTCCTCCTGGACAGGAGGTAAACTCCATGGAGAACATGTATATTCAAGGAAACAGTGCGGACTCTGGCACGGGCTCAGAGGAGCTGGTGAAGGGAATTTGGAATGCCTTTCTTTCTGTCTAAAGAGTTGGGTCAAATTATCATGATTGTTTCAAGGTCAGACCAAACCCTAATTCTACACAGTCCGTTACCTACAGATGGGAGGGCTGGAAAACAGTGGTGGAGGTCTTTGATTCTAATTAATTTTAAGCTGTTTTTACAGAGCTCTGACATAATTCAGATCATCAGTAGACTCTAGTTGGCAGATACTCTTTTGCTACCAATTTTCCTTATACTGGAAAGGGGTGTTAGGAAAATATCTATTATGTTAGAATGCCTAGAATCTGCAGGTTAACAAGATTCCCCAGTGGATTCCTTTGGTCATCTAAAGTTGAGAGGGGCTGAGGGCCTGGACCAGCATGTCTCAGTCCTGGCTGCTCATTGGAATCCTGGGCAGAGCTTTTAAAACCTGCCCAGGATCCATCTCCAGAGATTTGTCTTGTCTTGGCTCAGGTGATCTTGGGGCCCAGGGCATTGCTATATGTTTTTAAAGCCCAGATGATTCTAATGTACAGCCAGGGCTGGGAACCACTGCCCTAAACATAAAGTCAGACACTATTAGGTAGCTATCTAGATTCAGAATGCATGCAATCACAATG